GTATCCTTGCCAAGAAAACCCCAGTTTGATATGACTGAAAACGACTCAACAACTTGATTCTGTCATGATCCATTCTACCTCTAACAGTATTAAATAATAATATACAATAACTTCTTGAAATTACAATTTAGAATTAACTCATAGGTAATACCATTTATCAAGTCTTTCTGAAGACATTAGTCCACAATTTGAAAATGGAAGGTAGGCATATTTTTGATATGTAGTGAGATCTTGTATTCTGAACTTGGGTTTGCCTTTTGGCAAGTGTTTTCTTTCATCTTTTTGAAAAATAAAAAAGAATCCTTGGGGTACCTCATCAGACTTGCCTTTTATTATTATCATAATCTTTGTCCTATTGTGCCCTGTTTATAAAGTTTTTCTAGAAAGGTCCCATGGATATGTAAATAACCATGTACAGGTGATGTCTTTAAATGCCACATAAATGAATTTCCTAGACATCTGAAGCTAACTCTATTAAATGTGAAAACATTATCTTTATTTTAGCCAGTTTGAAGTTTCTTTAATATTCATTTTCTTGCTTTCTTAAAATCATCTTTGACTCTTCTTTCGTACTCCTATGCCATGTTGTTTTCCTGGTTCTATCAGTTCTATTTATGTTGCATCTTTTAAATCTTTCCTCTCCTATTCCCTTCCAGTAATATAGCCAGAATTTGAGACTTCATTTTTATACTCCTAGGTTATTGTAGTAATTTTCTAACCTATCTTCCAACCTCTAGTTTCTCTACACTCACCATGTGCAAAATATTCCCCTCTCTAACCAAATAAAGTATAAACTCCTTAGCCTGGCGTTTGAGGCTCTCGAATCATCTAATTTGTTTAATCATATTTAACATTAATTCCTGATTATTTTCTACCTTCCAAGCAAATAAGACCATTCACCGTTCCTCATTCTTATTTATACAACATAATGTTTTCTCTCCCTTGTTCAAACCATAGCCCGGGCCTGGAATAGGCTCTTTCTAACCTCCCAACTCCCACTACTCTTTGCAAAATTTTTAACTCTTTTCCTATTTTTGAGGCCTAACTCAGGCCTCCATGAAGTCTTCTTTGATACCTTTGTTAAATCAGTAAGCCTTTTTTTTCCCCTTAAAGCACTAACTGTTGCTAACTGTATGAGGTGCTAGGAGAGTTCCAACTTCCGACTGGAAGTTCTTTTTCCTTCCTTGAATGTTTAATAACAGGGCCATGGACTTCTGCTTTTCGTTCATTTCCTGACTGTATTAGAGTTGACTGTATTCATGCCTTATCTCACCTCCAAGATTATAAAAGCTTCTTGAGGGCAGGGAGGTAGTGTGATATAATGACTAGAACACTAGATTGGGAGTCATAAGACCCAGATTCTATTCCTAGCCCTGCCGTGAACTTGCTGATGATCTTTTTTTTTCTGAAGCAATTGGGGTTAAGTGACTTGCCCAGGGTCACACAGCTAGTAAGTGTGAGGTGTTTGGTCTGAGGCTGGATTTGAACTCAGGTCCTCCTGACTTCAGGGCTGGCACTCTATCCACTGTGCCAACTAGCTGCCCCCTGAACTTTCTAATGATCTTGGGCAAGCTACTTCACCTCTGTGTTTCTGTTAATGATCTACAAGCTTCCTTCAAACCCTCAAATTCTAAGATTTTTTTGTAGTGGACTATAAGCTCCATGAGAGGAAAGGAGAAGAGGAACCTGTTATCTGAATTACCCAAATTCTGCATCTTCTCCTTCACTTAGGACAGTTTTCTTGCATGTAGTAAATGTTAATTGATGTGAACTTTTTTTCCTATCACCTAGCATAGGGCTGAATGAATAATAGGTACTTAATAAAAGGTTATTGGACTGAATTGAACATAATTTAAACTTTCTTGTTGACTTATTGTTTTAGCCATCAATTACTGTAGTCTTTTATATTGATACTTAAGTACTTCAATAAATTCCTAATCTTATTGAAATGGATATTTCTTCCAAAAGTACAGATCCCAGCTCATCGAAATCTCACTTTCTGTGTAATCTTGCCCATATTCTACTATAAATTCCCTATAAAAGATCTACTTGATGTGCTAGAGGCCTCCTTTTGTCTTGTTAAATTTTATGGGCAGTATTTCAAAACTTGGGCTTCACACTTTGTTACATGACTGGATTACTTGCTTTTCTGATAATACATTTCCCATGCTATCCCTTTTGCTATTTCTTAATGGCAGTTAGGTAGCCCCATGGAGAGAGCACTAGGCCTGGAATCAGGCATACCTTTCAAGTATGGCCTCCACTACTTTCTAGCTATTTGATTCTGGGCAAGTCCCTTAACATCTGCCTCAATTTTATCACCTGTAAAATGGGAATATTAATAGCACCTACCGCACAGACTTATTGTGAAGCTCAAATGAAATAATATTTGTAAAGCGCTTAGCATATTGCATGGTACATAGTAGGTGCTTAATAAATGCTTGAGTCTGCTTCCTTTTTCCTCCCTCCCTTCTTGAACCTAGGTCATTTTTGGTAAGATCTTGTAACGTGCTTACACCAATTGTATTTCTTCTCCATTGTCTTCTAGGGCATCCGTGAAACAGTTTCCATTAGTTCCAAATTAGTATTTCTTACACTTTCCTTGCTAGCAGATAAATCTGCTTCTTGCAGCTTTTCCCCTTCGAATTGCATGTTTTTAATCTAATGAAGTCTATTAGAATTCTGTGTAAATTAAAACTCAGTAAACTCTAAAATAATGAACTTAAGCCCTTCCCTGTGCCCAGCTTTATGATAATTCCATTGGGTATGGGGTGAGGGCTGGGATGCTCAGGGGCTTTTAAAATTTCTTCCTGGCTAGCCATCTGACCACAGGGTAAATGGGATGCTAAAATTATAATCTCGTAGTGAGCTCTTTGAGCTTTAAAATAAATTTAAAAATTATTTCAGGAGTAGAGGGATTTTTGTGGTGACATTCCTTTTCTTCTGGTGTTTATTTTTTTAAAAGGAAAATCTTATTTTGGTTTTAAAAAACTGATTAAACAATCATTTATTTGTGTCCATCCTGCTCTTTGATCCAAGTTGGCATTGGACAAGATTGGACCTTCCTTGACAGGTTTTTAGTGGTAGTGATCCTAAACAGACTTTGAATCTTCATTAATGTTTAGGATCTTGAGGAGACCAGATAATTTGGAGATTGCTCTAGAGATTTGAATTAGTGTTTGTCTGATCAGAATTTGTTGTTGTTGAGTTGTTTCAGGCACATCCGACTTTCTGTAACCCTGTTTGAGGTTTTCTTGGCGAAGATGTTAGAGTAGCTTGTCATTTCCTTCTCCAGCTCATTTTCCAGATGAGGAAACTGAGGTATACAGGGTTAAGTGACTTGCGCAGGATCACACAAAACTAATAATTGTCTGAGATCAGATTTGAACTCAGAAAGAGGAGTCTTTTCAGACCTGGCACTTTATTCACTGCATCAAAGCTGCTCCTAGCTTATTAGCTGATCAGAATGGCCCAACATTAAATCACTTTTGAGCTTGCTTTAATAAACATCATTGTCATCATTTTATAGTGCTTTTGAGGTTTGCAAAGCACTTTATAAATATTTCATTTTATCCTCATTACAACCTTGGGAGATAGACCCTTAATATCTCCATTTTACAGTTGGGGCAACTGAGGCAAACAAATTAAGTGACTTGCCCAGTGTCATATTACTAGTAAGCATGTGAGTCAGGTCTTTCTGACTCCAAATCCAGCCCTCTATCCACTTCGATAACTAGCTGCCCTAGGGAAGGGATGCCAACAGGATGTTCTCAGGATTTTCAGCACTGGGGATAATAACCAAGGCTGCCACCACCACTGAAATATGGATTTTCAGTTCAGCTGTGGGCTCCACCCAAAAGAGACAGCAAGCTTAATATCAAGAAGAATAACATTCAGTTCTGGAGCTAAACAAGGATTAGGAAACCTAGGATCAAATCCTGGCTTTAATTCTCTTACTAGTTTGTGACCATGAGTAAGTCAGTTTGAACTTCTGTTTTTCATAATTGTGAAGTGGTGATAATAATACTTGCACTCTCTGTCTTACAAGGTGTGAGGAAAGTTGTATTTGTTTTTATTTAAAATTATGCTTTTGGAAACTATTTGAGGGTGTTGGGTAAAAGGAGATTGGTAAGAGTGTATTGAGATGATGTTAGTCTGCTGCCTGTTCTTTCTGTTTACAAGTATGTTAATAACATCCACTCTGAAGCCTCAGTTTTTTCAGTTGCCAATAACACATTTATGTGTAACACCTCATAATTTACTGAGTACCCTAATGAGACTGTAGGCTAGAAATAGGAACTTGACCTATGAGTTCAATGGTCCAGGGAATGCCTAGGTAGAGAAACTTCTACCAATGCAGATCAATAACATCTCTGCAACTTAACAGTTTAAGAGCTGCTTTGAACACTGAGAAGCCAGTGACAGGAATAGAATACCTGATGAATGATTTATGACTGAAAATTCATGCATGGCCCTTCTTTAGTCTTGAGTTCTTCCTCATCTCCAGGTATAGTTTTTTTCTTAGCAATATTTTGAGTTGGTGTGATAAGTAAGGGTAAAATCAGGAAAATGTTTGATATTAAGAAATTGTTTTGGTGTCATAGGAGGCATAGAGTTAGGTATTATGTGAGATTGTGTTTATAGGAGAGGGTACACATCTGGAAGGTATACATCCTTCTATGCCCTCAGTTTTTCTTCCTTTTTCTTCTTCTCTGTAATTTTTATTCTACCTTCTGCTCCCATACTTAGGCAAGCCTTTTCTCCACTCTTCCCATCCACATAACTTTGAAACCAACTGAAATTCAGCAAAAGGCCACAGGGAAAATATAAGCACATGTTGTCTTAGGCAAGGGTATATGTATTTGTAGGGAGGAAGAGGTATCTAGGGGTAGTAGTAATTCTTTCACATTTCAAAGACCCTTTCCTTATTGCCAGTTGCTAGTTATTAGAGGCGAAAGATCTCATGTAAGTGTTCTTTAGATATATTATTTTGTTCACAGAAAGCAAGACTGTCGACTAATACAAAATGATGAAAAAGATTGAATTATTTTCGAATGACAACCCAATGAACCCTGAAGACAAATGAGTAAAATCAATAAAAACGTGATTTTGGCTCTCTTAACTCTGACAAGTTCAGTGTTTCTGCTATTTCAGTTATACTACTACAAGCACTACTTATCTCCAAAGGTAATTTTTTTAAAAAATTCTTCTTTTCTCTATTGGAGACAATCTAATTGTGTGATTTTGCAGTCTAAGAACAGCAAATCTATTGTCTTTGCAGTATTACAAAATTACCTGTAGTTAAAAAAAAGTCTTTGTAAAGGTACTTTGAATCATTTTTTAAATTCTTAGTAGGTTAATATGGGTGTTGAGAGCTGCTACCAAATAAAAACTTTAGATGTTGGTTTGGTTTTGCAATGTCAAAACAAATATGCTAATAAGCGTCTATGGTGTTAAATCTACTAAACTGTCTCATGTTGACCCTGTGTTCCTGTATTTGAAGAGCTGTGGTTCTTTTATAGAGATTTCTTTTACTTTAAGTAATCTCATTTAAGGAAATACTGAATTTACATAACTGATGAGGTAGAGAGTGAATTTGTTTGCATAACCTGATAAAAAGAATTTTCAGGTTGAAATATATTAGTTTTTATATGGCATCACATACTGGTGAAATGTGATACTGCAGGTCTACTTTCATTAGCTCTCCTAATTATTTCATCAATAGAAGTTACTTTAGGAAAAGCTTCTATAATTGAGAAGGAAAATCATAAAGTTGGAAAGGTACTATGGAGTTCTGAGCAGCAGGTATAATCCTTCTGACATACTTGACAGTCCATTAAGCTTGCAGATATCTTAAATTATTCCTTGCTTAAGAATTTCAATTCAGGCTGTTGGGGGTATTTTTTCCCATGAGACTGTATCTTAAGTTGTGTAGAAAAATAAAATTTATCTTACAACTAAGTTTTCTAAATGTATCTGTGATATACCATCTGCTTTGTTTAAAGGGGCCATAGCCATTGTAACTGAAAATATTTTTAATGTAAAGGTTTTTTAATTATAAATTTACTTTTTTAATGGACTTAAATGGCAACAGACATGAATATTTAAGCATACAAAGAACAACACAAAAAGAACACTGAAATTCTGATTTTTGCAGTTTGAGTTTTTAAAGTGTATATTAAGTTTAACATGATAGTAATAAAACAGCCCTTCTTGTTTGTCCCCTTCTGAACTTCCTTTTCTGTATCTTTTTAGTGTTTCATTGATACTTTTTTCTTACTTTTCATGTCATGGTTACTACTCACCAAATGTCTTCCTCCACCCAAAAAAATTCCTCCCAATAAGTATAGTTAGGCAAAACATATCCTCACATTAGCCGTGGCTGGAAACAAATCTCCTGCCTCTCTAGCTCATCATCTATCTATATAAAAAAGTGAGAAATATCTTTCATCATCAGTCTTCTGAGCTATGAGTCATTTTATTGATCAAAATTCTAAAGTTTTTCAAAGTTATTTAATTATTGTAGTCATATAAATTGTTCTCTTTGTTCAGTTCATATCAGTCTTCCTAGGATTCAGATTTTTTTGAATCTGCAGTATAATAATATTCCATTACATTCGTATACCATATGTAGCAACCCTTTGGAGTAGCTCCTCCCAAATTCACACTCATGGGTTGGACCCCTTGACAACCGTCCCAGTTTCAAGGCTCTCTTTGGCTCTCCGCTCTTAAAACTATAGCTCAGGAGCATCCACTGATGTGTTTAATTAGTCAGTCAAAGGCTGTAATTCAAAGCAAAGGTGTTTACTAAAATGTTTTGTGAGACTAGTACTGCAAAATATTTCATAAATCTGGAGTATTTCTTTTCTCATTGACGTCCACATGCTGCTTCCTCTGGTCACAGCACCTTTCTCTGGGTATGTTTTTCTACCTACTTTCTCTCTGGAGTGATGCCTCTTACCAAGACAGTTGATCCACTGTAAGACACCATTGCTGAAGCAGGGAGAGAAAAGTCCTTTCCTCCTCCTCCCTTTTTCCCTTTGTTGCATTCTGGAAAAAGTATAAGGGATAGGGCAAAGAGTTATTCCCTCTCAAAAGATAGTTTCTTCCGCCAGAGCTGGCTCCTTTTTTGGGGACTAGACATGATGTTTTTGACTGACTTTAGAGCTGGTAAACTTGTTTTTAGGTCACCAGGGGGGTGGTTGATTCTTTAGCTAATGGCTGGCCATCCTATAATTCCATTCAGTTTGAGAAAACTCCCAACTCCTTTTATAAATTTTCATAAAGTTTTTATTTTAATTTTTTCTCATTATGAACTTAATTATCAACACTTTAAGATTCAAAAAATATGGAAGAGGATTGATTACATAAGAAACTTTTGGCCTCTATATTACATAGTGTATAAAAAATTCTACCTCACTTAAATCCAATTCGCATGCACATCAAGACATCACCCCATGATGTCATTGGCCCTCTCAAAAACAAAGGATGGACAGCAATACAGAAATATAAAGTTTAAGAAGGTAGTGACAAAATTGCTCTGTCTTCCATTTTTTTTCTCTTTTTCTCTTCTGTGCATTTAAAAAAATCTTTTTGTTACCCCCCCCAACGCCCTTCATTTATCACTACCTACTAGCCCACCTTCCCCCCAAGTAGAAGCCCCCCCTTGTAATCAATATGTATAGTTAAGCAAAACAAATCAGCACATTGGCCATGCCTAAGAATTCCATTATGTCTTATTCTGTCCCTCTGGTCCATTATGCCTCTGCCAAGAGGTGGGAGATAAGTTTCATGATCAGTCTGATGAAGTCCTTCCTGATTTGTCTCTGTCTCCGCTTTGGTCAGATTTCTGAGGTTATTCAGAATCATTTCCCATCACATTATTATTATGGTCATCATGTAAATTATTCTCCTGGTTCTGTTCACTTTATTCTGCATCAGTTTATATGAGTGTTCCCATCTGAATCCATCATATTCATATTTTCTTATGGCAAAATAACATTTAGTTATATATCACATTTTGTTCAGACTTTCTCCAAGTAATAAACATCTTGTTTGTTTCCATTTTTTTGTTACAAGAAAAAGTACTGCTATAAATAAGCTTATACATATGAGTCCTTTCTCTCCTTGACCTTGGAATATTTACGTTATACTGACTGTTGCTTGGTCAAGGAGTATTTATAGTTAATGACTTTTGGGGTGTAGTTCTACATCGTTTTCCTGAGTTTTTATAATTTATAGCTCTCTAATTATTCATAATTTGGAGCATTTTATATGGTTAATAGCTTGCATTTCTTCTTTTGAAAACTGCAGTTCATGTCCTTTGACCACTTATCTATTGAGTAGTAATTTAATTGAGATTTAGATAAGGTTTCAGTTGCTTTCTTTATATTATATATTATTTAAAGCCTGTAATTTCTGCACTATTTTTTTTTACCGTTAACAATAGTTAAAAGAAGTGAAGTACTGAAAATCAGAGTTTTATGTTATAGTAGAAAATGTTGAAAGCAAAAATCATAAATTATACCAAAACAATATTGTATATGTTTTATAGCTTTACCAATATCTTAGCATCTTAAAGGACCATTGCTAGCATGTCAATGTTGATATTTAAAACTATTTTAAGATATTTAAAAGTAGGGGCAGCTAGGTGGCGCAGTGGATAGAACACTGGTCTTGGATTCAGGAGGACCTGACTTCATATCCAGCCTCAGACATGTAACACTTACTAGCTGTGTGACTCTGGGCAAGTCACTTAACCCCATTGCCTAGCCAAAAAAAAAAAAAAGATATTTAAAAGTAGCATGAGTGATGACCTGAGGTTACACCTGTATTGATCAGAAATAAAGTCCTTTCTTTGTAGAGCACTTCTTTTAGATAATAGCCCCATTATTTGCTGCCTTTTTGTAAGTGGCAGGTTTGCTATGACTTCTTTTTCAACTCTGTGTCATTTTAGTTAAAATTCAAAAGGCCATTGATGTGCAGTGTTTTTTCAGTTTAGGCTTTGGGAAATCACAGGCTTGCCAATATTTTCCCCATTCAAGTGGAAGTGTAGAAGCTTGTTGCTTGAATTGTGTTTGATGGCAGATAATTATATGTGAAATAAAAAATAGTTGAGGAAATTGTTCTATAGGGAAAGGAATACATAATGATATCTTTGAGAGTTTAAAAACTTATTTCATATCAATTTCTGAATTGTACTTCTTCATTGTTGTGACTCATGATCACCGCATTTTAGAGAAATAAAATTTCAGGTGACCCCAAAGGGCCTGGTATGTGTAAAGGGTGGCAACATATTACCAGTGTGATTACTTGTGCATGAAAAGTAGTGTAAAAGACCTCATTAGTAATATGAATGGCCAGAAGAGAAGGAGTGCTGATTACATAAAGAATGACGAATGTTCAGCCTAAGTTCCACAGTGTTATTTAAAAGAATTTGAGCAAGGCAACTAGGTGGTTGAGTGGATTCTCTGTGAAGGATTTACCAAAAAAAAGTGAGCAAGAATTTTGGGAAGGCATGTGGGAAGAATATGGGAAGATATAAATCACTTCTCATCTGTACTGGTAAGAGTCTGTCACTGTATCAGGAGTGCCTGCATTTAGGAGATCATTAATCCATTACAATGCTAAAGTATTTTATTGGATAAATGTGAAAAGCACTTATTGACGGGAAGTATGAAGAGAGGAGGACACATAATCAAATTAAGATTGCTTAGTATAGTAGGCAGAGTATTACAGGTTAGCCCATTAAGCTCTGTTTTATCAACCTATTTCATCATCTGTAAAATAGAGATAATAACATCCACCTGACAAGGCCTACCTGATAGTATCAAATGAGATAATGTATATAAAATGCTTTACAAATTTTAAAGTCATGTATTTGTGAACTATTATTAATTCAGAGAAATATTCAGTGGGTAATATATCTGGAAATGCCTTTTTTTTTTAAGGCGGTTAGGGTTAAGTGACTTGCCCAGGATCACACAGCTAGTAAGTGTTAAGTGTCTGAGGCTGTATTTGAACTCAGGTCCTCCTGACTTCAGGGCCAGTGCTTTCTCCACTGGGCCACCTAGCTGCCCCTGGAAATGCTTTTTAAAACACCTCTATAAAAAAAAATTATAAAGCACCTCTATATTTTAATGACCTCCTGTGGTATCCCGGTTTTAAGAAATAATGAGTTTTCCCTTCTTTTCCTCTCCTTCCCTAGACTGTTTTGTTCTGTTTCATTTTTGTTTAGTATTCAGGCCCAAACCTTCCCTGTCTTTGTTAGACTGTGAGCTCCTTTTGAGTTAGGGCTTCTTTTCTTTCTTTCTTTCTTTCTTTCTTTCTTTCTTTCTTTCTTTCTTTCTTTCTTTCTTTCTTTCTTTCTTTCTTTCTCTCTTTCTCTCTCTCTTTCTCTCTTTCTCTCTTTCTCTCTTTCCTTCTTTCTCTCTTTCTCTCTTTCTCTCTTTCTCTCTTTCTCTCTCTCTCTCTCTCTCTCTCTCTTTCTCTTTCTCTCTTTCTTTCTCTCTTTCTCTCTTTCTTTCTCTCTTTCTCTCTTTCTCTCTTTCTCTCTTTCTCTCTTTCTCTCTTTCTCTCTTCTCTCTTTCTCTTTCTCTCTTTCTCTCTTTCTCTCTTTCTCTCTTTCTCTCTTCTTCTTTCTTCTTTCTCTCTTTCTCTCTTTCTCTCTTTCTCTCTTTCTTTCTTTCTTTCTTCTTTCTTCCTTTCTCTGTCTCTATTTTTATCCCCAAGCACTAATAAATGCTTTTTGGTTGATTTGTTCCCTTAACACAGCATTCTTGTCTCTTCTTTTCAGAATGTAAACACTAAGTGTTTGTCATTTATACCTTTTGAATTGTTCAGATTTGTTTATCATGGGTTTTTGGTGGGGAGGAGTCTACTATTTTGCATTTCATAGTCTGGCTTTTTGACAGAAGTGTTTGGGAGTCATCAGTTCTGTCAGGTATATGGAATGAATTTTTCTTGAGTGCAGTGTTTTCTTTTTTTCTTTTACTCTTTGCTTATACCCTGCTCAGATTTTTTTTGTTGTTACTGATGAGTAACCTATCATAATTCTGATTGGATTTCCTTGTTAAGTGTTCAGTCTTTTCATGGCTATTTGTAGTACCACTGTTCTTTCAGTCACTCAGGTTCACAGTGTCAGCTTCATTCTCAACTCATTAGCAAGCTGGGGAATGTATGCCTTGTTTTCTTTATGTCAATAAATAAAGTTCAGAGACCATCAGACTTTTTCTGCAAATTTCTTTTAGCATCTAATTCTGCTTTACAGATTTCCCTTTAATTTTTACTCCAAAGGTTTCTTCTTTTCCCTTCCACTGCCAGTATTTCACACTATCTCCAGTACTCCATTCCTTATTTTTGTATCTTCTGCATGAAGCCACAAGTTTGTTTTCCATTTTTCCCCTCTCAGTATGCTTATGGATAATGCCTCCTTTCCTATTGTGTTTACCCTTTTGCCTGGATCCCTATAAGTAAACCCAGGGCTCCTCAGGAATCTCTTGACAATACAGAATACAGCAGTAGTACATAACTAGCATGGAATAAAAGTGGAATGATCATTTTTCTTCCTGAGATTCTAATGCTGTTTTTCTGCAAGTTTTCAGCATATTTTTCTCATCCTGTGATTTCCTTACCACTCTCAGTAGGTCCCTTCACCTCTCTGATCCTCATTTTCCTCATTTAAAGAATAAAAGGGTTAGTTTAGCTACCTCAAAAGTACTAGCTCTTAATCTTAGAATCCTGTAACTGGAGAGGTTCTTTTTTTCTTTTTCTTTTCATTTTAAATATTTATTTGTTTTTCTACAATTATACATAATAACAGTTTTTTTAAAGTGTTTTTTTTGTTGTTGTTTTGTTTTGAGTTCTAGATTCTAATCCTCCCTTTCACCTCACTGAGGGAGAGGGTAAACAATCTGATATAGGTTATACGTGTGTATATGTAAAACATGTTTCCATATGAATCATTTTGTGCAAGAAGACTTGAAAAAGAAGGAAGAAAGGAGGAAAAATAGTAAGCTGCGCCTTTACCTAGTCTCCCATGTTAAAAATGACACTTCCCTCTCTTTCATTTCTCATATCCATTGAGATAGCAGGCCTTTCTAATTCTGCCTTTTACTTTTGTGTCTTCTCTCTTACTTCTGTCACTCTGGCTCAGTCTTTCATTATCACCTGCCTTTACTGTTGTAATAGCTTACTAACAAGTCTTCCTACAAAGTAGTTCTTTGTCATGCCATTTGTTAAAAGTCTGCATTGGTCTCCTATTGCTTTCCAAGTAAAATTTAGACGGCTTGGCCTGGCATTTGGTTCCTTCCACAATCTTTTGCCAGTCTACCATTCCAGCCTTATCTTTTATGACTTCTTTTCATGTAAGTGAAGAAGGCATGAAGAAGCAGCTAAGGGGTGGACGTGGAGTCAAGAAGTTTAGTCAGTCATTTTTCAGTTGTGTCCAACTCTTCATGACCCCCTTTGATGTTTTCTTGGCAAAAATCTTGGAGTGGTTTGCCATTTCCTTCTCCAGTGAAATAAGGAAGTTCTGAGTTTAAATCCACCCTCAGATACTGACTAGTGTTGTGATCCATGGCAAGTCACTTAACTTCTGTTTGCCTCTGTTTCCTCATCTATAAAATGGGCATAATACCTGCCTTCCAAGGTTGTTAGGATCAAATGAGGGTATTTTTAAAGCTTTTCACAAACTTTAGAGCACAATATAAATGTTAACTGTTTCTATGAACTCTATACCCCTCCACTCCTGTCATATACTCCCTGCCCTTTCCTCCCTCTGCTTATGTTCTTTGTTGTATTTGGAATATCCTCCCTCTTCATTTTTGCCTGTTGAATTCTTACCCTTTCTTTAAAACCCAACCTATATGTTACCAGGCCTTCCCAGATAGCCATAGTTGATAACAACCTTCACCTTCAGAAATCATATAACACTTTGTTTTTCAACTCTTTTTATGTAACATTGTATATTGTCTGTGTTTGTACCTTATTTACTTAGGAATCAGCAAGCTTGATGAAAGCAGGAACCATATCTTATTTTAACTTTGTATTTCCCCCATGCCTAACACAATCAACACTTGACAAATGTTTAGTAAATGGAAGAATAAATAAGTCAGTCTCCATAACATAAACATAGTCTGTAATATCAGTATAAGTACATTCTTCTAGTTTGCTAGTCATTGGTAAATATAAGCTTGTTCAGGGACTTTCGTCCTTTACACTTTACTATCCAGTCACATCTTGATTTAAATGTTTTTTCTATTTTATATCAGTATTCTTTAAATTCTGATTGAAAGCTCATAGAGGGCTCACACAATGTTTTTGTAACTGTAGTGTCTTGCATAGGACCATGTTTATGTGGGCATTTGCTAAAAAATTTTTAGACCAATGAATCAATTTGTCAGATTTGTATGTTCCCCTTATAGCTGGCCTAAAGGAAAGGTTACTTAATAAGCGTGAACTTGCTGAATTTTTCAAAATATTTTTATCTTAGAATGGAGCTGTTTTATCAGGAGCCAAAGGAAGTAAAGTTGGACACAATAATGCACAATGGGTAAGTATAATATGAATTTAATATCTCAATGAATATTGTCAGTAAGTTAACAGAACTGAACAATGAATGAGGAGAATACTGATAAGAAGTAATAAATGGACATAGGCTAATTTGTATGAATTCTGAAAATATAGCTACATTTGCAAGAAAACCAGCAAATGTCATGGAGCATATTTCAGACACAGTGTCCAAATTTGGAATGTATTCCTACCTAATTTTTTGCAAGTAAATTTAGCAATGCTAGGTTTGCCATTTCTGAATGCATATGTCCTAGTAGTAGGCATCAATAATATGACAAGACATTTCAGTATTAATGATACAATTCAGTCTTTGACTCCTCTGCTACCAGTGAGGAAGAAGACTTTTAGATTAGAACTGGGCTTTTAGGTCACCAAGCAGTCATCGGATACTGATAAATTCTGGGTCACTGCTGACATCAGCTAGAACCAAATTGCTGTTTAAGTGGTAAAAGTTCAGACATTCTGTTACCAAACTCCTCACCCTATCTAGTCTAGAGACATATATATGTACTTTTAGTGATCTAACATGGTGATTTTTTTTTAATAATAGAGACTTTTATAGGATTTTTTTGGGAAAAGAGGAGCAAGATATACTAGATATTTAATAATCTAATCTGAGCTATACATAGAGCTGGGATTAATCTACATGAGATTAATCTACATAGATTAAATAGAATATTAAGCATGTTTTCTACTCTCCACTTGAAGCAAAATGGAATAAAACAAAACTTTGTTCATATGTCATTCTTTGTGGTAAGCTTGATGCTCATCAATGATGTGGCAAGGTAAGTAATAGTTTATATGCCTACCTCAGCCATACTTGAGACCTACCAAATAATTTTTCTAAATTTAAAAAATTTAGACATGCAGTTCATAATATAAATTTTTTTAAGCTCTTAAGAGCCCACATGAATATACTGAAATAGTATGTTTAAAAAAAGTTTTTAAATTAATGTATTTATCTTTAGTTTTCAACATTCATTTCCACAACATTTTGAGTTCCAAATTTTCTCCCCATCTCTCCCCTTTCCCCACCCCAAAATGGCATGCATTCTGAATACCCCTTCCCCCAGTTTGCCCTCCCTTCTATCATCCCCCCCCATCCTCTTCCACTTATTTTCCGGTAGGGCAAAATAGATTTCCATACCTAATTGAGTGTGTATGTTATTCCCTCCTTAAGCCAAATCCAATGAGAATAAGTTTCACTCATTCCCTCTTACCTTTCCCCACTTCCCCTCCACTGTGAAAGCTTTTTCTTGTCTGTGTTATGTGAGATAATTTACCCTCATTCTACCTCTCCCTTTCTCCTTCTCCCAGTATAATCCTCCCTCACCTCTTAATTTTATTTTTTAGATATCATCCCTTCATCTTCAACTCACCCTGTGCCCTCTGTCTATATATACGTGTGTGTATATATGTGTGTATGTATATATATATACATACATACATACATACATGTATATATATACATACATACACACATATATACATGTATGTATATATATACATACATACATACATACATACATGTATATATATACATATTTTTTTCCCCTCCAACTACCCTAATACTGAGAAAGATCTCATGACTTACAAATATCATCTTTCCATTTAGGAATATAAACAGTTCAACTTTAATAACTGTCTTATGATTTCTCTTTCCTGTTTACCTTTTCATGCTTCTCTTGAGTCTTGTATTTGAAAGTCAGATTTTCTATTCAGCTCTGGTCTTTTCATCAAGAATGCTTGAAAGTTCTTTATTTCACTGAATGTCCATTTTTTCCAAGGAAGGATTATACTCAGTTTTGCTGGGTAGGTGATTCTTGGTTGTAATCCTATCTCCTTTCCCTCCAGAATATCATATTCCAAGCCCTCTGATCCCTTAATGTAGAAGGTACTAAATCTTGATTGTGTTTCCACAGTACTTGAATTGTTTCTTTCTGGCTGCTTGCAATATTTTCTCCTTGACCTGGGAACTCTGGAAGTTGGCTACAATATTCCTAGGAGTTTTCCTTTGGGAATCTCATTCAGGAGGTGATCAGTGGATTCTTTCAATTTCTATTTTACCCTCTGGTTCTAGAATATCAGGACAGTTTTCCTTGATAATTTCTTGAAAGATGATGTCTAGGCTCTTTTTTTGATCATGGCTTTTAGGTAGTCCAGTAATTTTTAAATGATCTCTCCTGGATCTATTTTCCAGGTCAGTTGTTTTTGTAGTGAGATATTTCACATTGTCTTCTATTTTTTCATTCTTTTGGTGTAGTTTTACAATTTCTTGATTTCTCATGAAGTCATTAGCTTCCATTTGCTCCATTCTGGGTTTTTTTTTGGGCAATTGGGGTTAAGTGACTTGCCCAGGTTCACACAGCTAGTAAGTGCTGAGTGTTTGTTCTGAGGTCTGATTTGAACTTGGGTCCTCCTGACTTCAGGGCCAGTGCTGTATCCACTGTCCATTCTCATTTTTAAGGAAGTATTTTTTGGTTTTGGACTTGCTTTTCCATTTGGCCAATTCTGCTTTTTAAGGCATTCTTCTCCTCATTGACTTTTTCAACCTCTTTTGCCATTTGGGTTAGTCTATTTTCTAAGGTGTTATTTTCTTCAGTATTTTGGGGGGTCTCCTTTAGCAAGCTGTTGACTTGTTACTCATGATTTTCTTGCATCACTCTCATTTCTCTTCCCAGTTTTCCCTCTACTTCTCTTACTTGTTTCTCAAAATCCTGTTTGAGTTCTTCCATGGCCTGGGACTGATTCGTATTTTTCTTGGAGGCTTTGGATGTAGTAGCTTTGACTTTGTTGTCTTCTTCTGGTTGTATATTTTGATCTTCTTTGTCACTAAAGTAAGAGTCTGTGGTCTGACTTTTTTTTTGCACTGTTTGCTCATGATCCCAGCCAGTTACTTGACCTTTTTTTTTTTTTAGGCAATTGGGATTGAGTTACTTGCCCAGGATCACACAGCTAGTGTCAAGTGTTTGGTCTGAGGCCAGATTTGAACTCAGGTCCTCCTGACTTCAGGGCCGGTGCTCTATCCACTGCACCTCCTAGCTGCCCCGACTTGACTTTTAAACTCTTTGTTAAGGTAGGGGTCTGCTTCCAGTGTGGAGAATGTACTGTCCCAAGCTTCAGGGATTTTGTGCAGCTATTTTCAGAGGTACTTCTAGGGACCTGTAAATTTTCAGTCCTTCCAAGGTGGTCTGATCAAAGGCGAGGTGTTTACTCCTTTCTTGGCCTGTGCTGTGGTCTATGAGTGACCACAAGCACTCTTTTCTGCCTTGGAACTGTGAGGACAATCCACTATGTACCGCCATCACAAGGTCCATCATGCCAGCTCTCCATCTCGCCCTAGGGCTGTCACCCAGAACTTTGACCCAGATCTAAGCACGGGCAAAGCCTCACCAGCAAAGAGATCCCTGCAGTGCCCCTCTGATCAGCCGCTGGATCCTTAATTAATTGTGGGCCAAAAGCTCCAGAAGCAATTGCCACTCCGAAGCTGCACCAGGACTAGGGCCAGACCATACTCTTCTCTCACCCAGGTCTGATAGACCTTTCCTACTGACCCTCTATGTTGTCTTCAGTGTTTGTGGGTTGAGAAGTCTGGAAACCATTACAGCTGGTAGTGATTCAATCCCCTGAGGCCTGCTCTGGGTTCACTGAGGCACTGTCTTTGCCTGCAAGGCCCACGCTGAATTGGGCTGGATATATGTTTCACTCTGTCTTTTTGTGGGTTCTGCTGCTCTAAAATTTGTTTAGAGCTATTTTTTACAGGTATTTGGAGGGGTTTGGGGGAGAGCTTAAGCAAGTCACTGCTTTTATTCCACCATCTTGACTCTGCCTCCTTAAAAAAATTTTAATAGCTGCTATGTTTATGAGAGAATCTTGGTTGGCTTTATAGACAGTGTCTATAATTTGCAGCCTTCAAAAAAATTTTTTTAAAAAGTGATAAAAATGGACAAGTTCTTTGATTTACTTAAAAATTGAGAGTTTGTGTCTCTTTAATGGAAAAATAAATTAATCTGTCAGGGAAATCCATTTGACTTTATCCACCCAACAGATAGGGTAGGGATATTTCTATTTTGAAGATAGAAAAAAATTGTGAAATAGGTAAACTTTGTCTTTGTTAGCCCTCAGTCCTCTCCTATGAGCCCTTTTTTCATTGTTCCTGCTTTAGCTCCAAGATCTCAGTCCCGATTGCCCCAGGGTCTTATGCTGCTTTATAGTTCTTATGCTCTGTTCTTTGCCTCTCTGAGTTAAGTGATCAATTCTTAACCTCCTTAGAATCTTTTTAGCTCTAGAACTTCCTTCTAAAGCAGCAACAACAACAACAAAAAAAGAAACTGTGATGTCTGTATATATCTCTGTGCCTGGACACTTGTTAGAATTGTTTCCCTGTGAAGCTTTAGAGAAACCATCTCCTTAATTGCCATTCTTGAAGTCCTGGATTCTCAAAGTAGGGTGATTGTTTTTTTCCTAAGCAAAAAATTTTTTTTAACCAACAAAGGTACAAAAGGAAAATTCCACAGAAGATGAAGTCCAGGTTTATCTACTGTATCCTCATAAGTGGATATGGATAAATCCAAATTTATTTAAGAGTATTTTAGCTCAGGAAGTAATTTTAATTCAATTAATATCCTTTTGTTTGTTTGTTTTCTTTTCAGTGAGGCAATTGGGGTTAAGTGACTTACCCAGGGTCACATAGCTAGTAACTTTCAAGTGTCTGAGGCTGGATTTGAACTCAGGTCCTCCTGATTGAAGGCTGCAGCTCTATCCACTGTGCCGCCTAGCTGCCCCTAATTCAATTAATATCATAAAACAATAATTAAATTCTACTTTTCATATGGAACTGAGCTAGAAGCAGAGAATTCAAAGATGAACAAAAATTAAGATACAATTCAAAGTCCCTTATCCCTCCTACTACTATTACCAACCATTAAGCAAGTACCACTTATGGTCAGTTGAGCTACTCCCTTCTTCTTCCTTCCCCTG